TAATAAAGGAGCCAAGCTTGCAACTCTGTTGCTTTCATATGGGAATATTGTTTGTCAAAATCTTTTCGTGGCAGACGCTCAATGAATTGTGGAGGCATTATTTGAGCAACATTCTTAGACACTTCTTTTATTTGCTTCCCAATGAAGTAATTTTCACCTGAGTTTGTAGGTGAAAACCACAAATCTAGGAGCTTTTTTACAGCTCCAAGGAGCGAACCATGCATGTAATCTGGTACTACTCCTTTAACCAAGTCAAAACCAATAAGATCACTAATGCCAGACTTTCCCTTGTAACCATTGACTCTCTTTTTATCTGTAGACAAGATCATATCTTCACGAACGTTTACATCTGTTCTTCTTTTGAATAATTTAGCTCTGTCTCTTGCATTTCGATGATAGTCATAGCACCTTACATGCCCTTTGCCTTTACTTACAACTTCACCTGGATCGTAACACATACAGCAACCACATTTACCATTAAACATGGTCATGTTTAATACTGAGGCTTTAGCGGGAAGATCAAGGGAGCATAATGCTACATTGAGTTTCACATTAATGATTTCACCTTTGTACTCCACATCTACTCCTTCTGATTTCAATACATTCATATTTTGTGTGAATATATTAAGGTAAGTCTCCATTGGAGGCTTTCCCTTACCTTGCCAAAGTCCACATATAAGTGTATTGTCTCGAGCAAATCGAAGTGCCGGGGGGAGTTCATTAACACTTAAAAGTATAGGCCATAGTTGAACCTTAGTTGAATTATATAGTAAAACTCCATCCGTATTGAATAGTCCTGATATCTTGATGCTGTCCACATGCCATTCATCCATAGTTGATTTATAACAGGCACCATCTTTGATATCACAGATGATGTCTCCAAAACTTCCAGGTGCTGGATTCAAAATGGATTCAAGAATTCCTGAAAGAATATTGTTTCAAGTTAATAATGATGATATTCATTGGCTTAGGCTAACTGGGAAAAATCACATTTATAAAGTATCATTATTCTGGAGCAGAGGTGTTATGTGTAGGTCTAGAATTGCTTAGCCATGTTAGCCTGGCCATATATTTGAATGAAATCATAAACTCGAAAACTCAAGTTTCTCAAATGAAGAGTACGCATTCCAAAATGTGCCATAACGATAACGTCATCACAAAACAATCCCATTTAACAAACCTCATTTGAGAACTAATATTAGCTAAGGGGAGGCATCAAAAGATCAATGTCTGATAGAAAACTAAATAAATCTAGTTTGGGGGGAGGGGGTCAAAGCTATTTCAGTTTGCTATCCGACAAATTTCAACATTTGAATTTTTGGGAATTTCGACTCGAAATGCCTTGGAATGGTTTAAAAATAAAGACTTTACCAGATGCCTTCTTCACAAATATGCATGCAACATGGAATATTATGCCTATTGTTGTTGGCATATGTTTTAAGAATCATGAATAAGTTCTAGTACTACCCCCATAAAAGTCCAAATTGAGTCGCAAAAACATGTGAAAGTCCGCGATCAACTTTCATTGTATTAAGTTTTGAGGGGGAGGGGGGGGGGGGTCCAACTCAAAACTAGATTTATTTAGTTTCCTATCAGACATTGAACTTTTGATGCCTCCCCTAATGCTACTCAGCTATGTGGTTGAGAAACTGAACATTACCTGGTGATGTGAGTAGGTTTTTCAAGGATTCCTTAGGATCTGGAAAGACAAACCTCCCTTTTGGTGTAACAGATATGTTGTCTTCATATCGATCATACCCACACTTGGAACAGTTGCGTTGATCAAGATTCTCAGGAAATAGATTAGAGCACTTGAAACAGTAATGGACTTCCTTAGCCTTCACATCGATCAAACTCCACATATGTTTATAGCTCAGGAATGTATCAAAGGCGTTTTTGCTTTCAGGGATAAGTTTCTTCATTGTTTCTAATATGTCCTTACAACAAGCAGCGCTAAGATTATGCTTCAGGAATATACTGAGTAAAATTAATGATCTTTCATCGTCCTCGGATGAACATATAGTTGGGGTATTAGTTATATCATAATCATCATCATCATCATCAGACATGTCATCACTAAAATCACTCTCATCATCTGTTGTTGAGAATTCTGAAGCAGTGTCAAATTCATCACTGGAATCGTCTTCAGAATGATCATCATCTGTACTCTCAGCAACAGTATTGTAATCATGATTTTCTCTCATACCTTCCATTATAGAAGCACCTAAAATATTGATGGATTATGTCAATCACATGGAAACACATTCACCAGATTGATAAATGCATGAGGAAAAATTGAGGTCTGATATTATGTTATCTAATTGGATAGTTCAGTTTTTAACAGGAATTCATAGAAACACCCTATTATAGCCCATTTTTCACAAATCCCTGGGGATTTAGTCATTTGAGACATCTCCTTCAGGATAATTCGGTAAACACTGTGCATTTATTAGAGAGAATGGCACTGAACCCACGAACCCTCGCTCAATATAAGTGCAATAGTATAAATCAAATTGACCTCACTCAGCTATGGAACATTACACATCATGCCCATGGTGGACAGACCCATTTTTTCTCTCAACTTGTACCATTTTGCTTGTGCAATATAGACATACCTGGATTTTGCTGGGGCTCAACAAATGTTGTTCCATCTTTCCTGAATACACTGAACACAGGACTTTCCCTTTCAGAGTCATCAATAGTTTCAGTAGATTCAACAGAAACATTATTTTCACTATTTAAGCCCTCTGCATCCTCAGCTAGAAATGTAAGAACAAATGTTTATTAAAGTTCATGTAAATTGGGAAAATGATTTCATTTCTTTATCAAAGCACTTTATGTTTAAAGATATTGGATTATTTGATAGAATTAGTTAAATTATTTGCAATAGGCCTAGCCACAATCTTACAATATCAATTCAATACCAGATCATTGAACCAGAACAATTGGGTTAAATTTGGGATAATATATTCTGAATATCAGATCAATTTGAGTGATATCATTTTTTATCTACCAATTGATATCAACATGAGTGAGCAAAGTAAGCGATCACTTAAAATGATCTGATATTATTGGGTTTATCCCATGATTATATTAGAGATTGAGTGATAAATTATATTCAACCTTATATGAGGTTGAGCAATGATTTTCTGACAAATATCACTGAGATTTCAATAATATTTGAAATATCACTAGCTATTATTGTATAGATAAAACATTAATCTTAGGATAAATTATTAAATCAAACCTTTGATTTCTTTCATTGTCGCTCTTTGTTGTCGTCTTCTATAATAAAATGTTGATTTTGGCATCACGTGTTCGACAGTTTCATCATACAGCTTTCGTACTTTCTTCAATGGGGCTAAAATAAAAATTTAATCAAACTTACATTCACATTTTAAAATGCAAACCTATTAAAACTATATGCAAAGTATAAATTGAGTTGTCCATTTTGACAAACCTCATATTCCTCGACTTCCTCATTCGGTGCTAGCTTCCTTAAAAGTTCAAAAAGCATATGCAGTAATTTTTAACTCCAGACCATGTTTAAAAGATTGCAGAAATTCAAATAAAACAATGAGGCGTGATCGATATTTGAAAAATAACATGTGGCTCTATGGAGGATTGCAACAAAATTTCTATCATACAGAGTTACCTTAACCTTATTCGAGAAACCCTAAAGTTTGACATTCAAAGTTCTAATTGCATTACAGTTTCCAATCAACCATTAACATAAATTGATTCGACCAATCATAACCATCGATCAGTGGCAGCGTTGCCAATGCATCTGAATCTGTCATAAGAAAGACATGCACCTGGAATGACTATGTTTCCCCTCTAATAGTAATAGCGCAAAGATGATTGGAAGTCGTTACATGGAGCGCTAAGAAAGTATTTCACCTATTATCGCCCAACAAAAAAATAAAGTAGAGCTTACTTAGCTATAGTATTGACAGAGAATTACATACAGACTGTTATAATGATCAAACCCTTGAACTAGATGACTCTCTCATTCGGCTCTAAGTGTCTGGAGCCTAAAACAATGTTTGGAGGCTTGTCGTCTTGACCGGAAGTCGGTTTTAAAAAATTCAGGTTCATATTTAAATGACAAATAATGAAATAAATTTGTCTACTTACATGCCCCGTGTATATCAACAAGATGCAACTGGACATTTCGTTTGGATGAAAGCTCTTTTTGACAGATTAGGCACTCAAATTTACCACTTTCCTTACGTTGAAAGCAGTCCGATTTTGCACGTCCATCCATTTTTGTGTTGGCGATAAATCGTAGTCTGGAGATGTTACATGTAATCGTTCAGTGCTTGATGTATTAATCTGAACGGTAAACTTTGTTTTGAAGACTGTTTATTAATTCATAATTTATAAGACTATAAATCAATGCATTTGTGAGTTTTCAGACTGTGAATATTTTCAAAGGAAGTTAAGAATGATCGGGATTATTCCCCGGGAATATTACCTCTGTGAGTTATCAGACTACGATATGCCACCGACTTAATTCAGTTATCAATACGCACGACTTCTAAAGTAAAAGAAACATTTTCGTTCAATATACTTCTGGAAATCTAATTTAAATTCAGTTATCGATGATTTCACAATAATTAATACATTATTTACACTGCGATTGATTGAAAAAGTATTGAGACAAGGGATATTTGTGTTGGAATTACATTCTTATGGGCAATATTTTTATGGCGTGAACTCTTGGCGGGAAGTTTAATAAGGGGTGGTAACATTTAAATTTTAACAATTTTTCTTTTCAACAGTCAACAATATTATTTGTTCATGTTGTCATGTATATATTAGTGATATTAAAAACATGCATTGTCTTTCGATGCGACTTATTGCGAATATTTACATTAATATATCAATGAAACATCGCAAAAGTAGTGCTATCACCCCCGATAATCAATATGGACGAGTTCAATACTGACGTTGTTCAACACAGACACAAGTTTGAAACGCGCCATTTTCAATTTCGTAGCAGCAGGTTTACAGGTTTATGCGAATTTGATTTAAATTTTGAATCATGTTTTACATTATTCTGTGGAAAGAGACTAGAGAATTATCAATCATCAGTCATATAAGTTTAGTTAGAATATGCGACGAAAGCATTAGGAGGGAAGGGCCCTTAAGCTTACAAGAAGGAACAATACTCAATCTGAAACATGATAAAAAACTGTTCCAAGCAGTCGTCATCAAAATCGTGAAAAGTAAGTTAATTCTGAATTTCTTGTCTCAACTCACTGTGTTCAATATGGGGTGTGTTATTGTGAAAAATCACTAGTTTCACACGATATATAGTGTTATCTGAGGTTGTCTGTAACTAGACGTCTAACTGAAAGCAGAGTCACTCATCTCCAAATGCAGATATGTCTCTGCTGAAATTGAACTGTTGTGTCACTGTTCTGGATCTGTAACGGAATAGTTTTAAAGTTGATGGAACTGATATTGAATTCACAATTTCCAGAGATTCATTCCACAAAATTTGAACTGAAAGCATGTCTTTAGTTGCAACATGTGCTTTTTGTTAGACTAACTTTAATTTTGATCAATGTATGTTTTATTCTATTCATAATACTAATAGGCCTAATGATGTATATTTTTCTTATATTTCAGAAAAGAAAGATGCGGAAGACATTTGCAATGAGAAACTCAGAAAGAGTGCTCTAGCAACCTATATGACAGATACAGACAGGCAAGACAGCACAGACACGGGTGCAGACACCACAGATGATGATGATGATCGCCGTGAGACGCCCAAGAAATCCACAGATGATGATCATCATGAAGATCCTGAGACACCCCAGCACTCCAAGGAGACCAAAAAATCCAGCACTAAGGATAGGTATGGTATTATCTATAACATTAAATTTTTTATTCCACTTATTAGTCTATGTTCTTTAAACTACTAGTATTTCAATCCTTCCCCCTAAAAATAACATACTTATTAGTACCCAATTTCACCCGACTGTTTATTTATTTCCATTTTTATTTTATTTTATCAAAGAAAATAGCTGCAATATTTGATATTACTAGTGATGACGAATTCACTAATACTTTTTATGATTTGGGGATCAAAATTGGCATAATTCATTAGGATTTTGATGTGATAAATAATGAAAAGGTAATGTGAATTTTCATGAGCTAAAAAACAAGGGGATTGTTTTTTTATTCCAGGGTAGCAGTGCTTGAAAAGCGTTACCAATCACTTAAAAGAAAACTAAACGCTTTGGAAGACAGGTTATTGGATATGGAAGAAAAACCTCGAGAACAAAATGATGCTGAATCCAACTTGATAGAAAAGGTGAAACACCTTCAATCTACCGATGTTCAAGACGTAATCGTAACGCTCTCACAACAAGTCTTCACAAAAGAGGAACTCATAAATCGTAGTGTAACAGGCAAGAAGTCCCATCTCGGCCAAAAGCCCCCACTTAAAACTGAACTCTACAATGAGTTGCAACGAGTTTGCATGCTAAAGACGGGTTGCTCGAAGGATGTTTTCAGGTCAAAGTTCAGAAATCTGCAGAAGGTATTAAGACGAAAAGCAATGTAAGACAATAATTTAACAGTTGAGACATTGACAGTTGAGACATTGAACATTTTAACATTAAAATTTAAGTGGTCAAAGTAATAAAGATGCTTTAAAGTTCTATTTGATTACTACTAGTAATAAAGTTATCACTTTCTTTGCAATACTCTTGTTTTGTATTAAATTAGCTCAAAAATTGCACAAATATGAAAATTAACTTCTACATTCTAATTCCATATTAGTTCCAATGCTAAGGAAAAAATTAATGATAGAACTGTTATAGAATCGTTTTTATTTTGTGTATTTCTGAATTTGAAAACATTGAGTTAAAGATCAATTCTAGAATTTAGATGAAAGAAACGTGTCATTACAGTTCTATAGCTAAACCATAAAAGGGTTCTTTAAATATTCCACCTGAATTCTAATAGCCCTAATAGAAAAATATTAGAATCATTCTTTCATTTTTTCCAATTTGTTGTAAATAGAGCTAAAGAACAGTTCTAGAATTAAAATGAAAGAAATATGTCATTACAGTTCTATAACTAAAGCTAAAATTGTTCTTCTGATATTCCACTTGAGTTCAAATGCCCATAAAAGGGAATTATAGAACTATTACAGAATTATTCTTTCATTTTGTCCAGTTTGTTGTTATAGGGCTAAAGAACAATTCTAAAACCAAAATGACAGATTAATGACATTACAGTTCTATAACAGAAACAATTAAATGTTCTTTATATATTCTACCAGAATTCCAATGCTCATAGGTTAAAATTACAGAACTATTACAGAATAAGTATTTCATTTTGTCCAATTTGTTGTAAATAGGGCTAAAGAACAGTTCTAGAATATCAAAATCAGTTGGATGAACACTTATGGAACTGTTCAGTTTTCCATTCTGTAACATTTCAAGAACAGTTTTTGAACAATTCCATTCTTTTTCACCAAGGATGTAATATAACCCATATCCTCTTAATATACAATGCAGTAATAGAAAATGACATAATCAGCCCAGATCGTCTGCTTATGCTTATTTCACTCGATTTCTCTCTAAAATTTGGATGAAGTGTCTGTTTTTTTTACATTTCTATACAATTTAGAGTGTTAACTACATGCCTGTTTAGTTTATTCTTTGCCAATTTCATTCTTTTGTACTCTTTTTTGCATTTCAAATCAGTTTTGACTATCTGTTTTAAAACCACCAACCAGAAATGTACTTTTATCAAGGTATCTTATTCACTTCAAGATCAATGTTAACCTCAAATATTTGTACAAGAAGATGGGTTCCATTAGTGATATACAGTAGAACCTGATAAGTGGAAAACCTCCGTAATGCCTTGGTCACATTTGCTCCGATTTTCTCTACGGCGCCCGGCCGATTGAGTATTTTGTTCAAAATTTAATACAATATTGAACAAAACACTCAATTGTCCGGGCGCCGGCCGATGGATCGGAGCACCCAGGCATAAGAAGAACACCTCGCAACTTGAACGTTTTTTCAAAGTCCCGTTTTAAAAACCCATTGACTTAATCTTAATTGAACCTCTATAAGTGGAACACCTCCTAAGTAGAACACTTTTTGGCAGAATGGAGGGTGTTCTACTTACACAGTTCTACTGTATGTTTTAAATGTCAGAATAATTTAGTCAAGCACTAGCTTCTGATTTTCTCCAGTTTATAGAGATAAGTATCCTGTTCTATTTTAGTAACGCAAAACAGTGCAAAAATATGAAAATTACCATTATAACTGTTGTCTTTTTAATTCACTTTTCAATAATTCAAGGGCATTATGTTAAAACCCTTCAACACAATGCATGACACATTATAAAATGGCGGTTTTTCAAAATGCAAAACATTGTGATGAACTACAACAAAAAATGAACCCATATAAAAATGTCATTGGGGTCATATTTTGAAATGCAAAATTAACCACAAAGGAGTTGTATCAGCAAGAAATAAAGTTAATAGTACATTCAAATTTTTCAAAGGAATTGGTAAAATATGCAAAACCCTATTGACTAATTTTCTCAGAGGAAAATAAGTAAAATATTTCAATGTCATATGTGACTATTATATTCTCGTATACCCTGGTTGTTAGTTGTTGATAAATATGTATTTGGTTACTGATTTTTTAAAAACGATGATTGATGGTATATGAATGGTACCATAAATAAAATATAATTATTTTCATTATGCTATATCTTATACAGAGTCAAAACAAGGAATTAACAAGGAATAATATAAACATGCATGTAGTTAACATACCAAATAATACAAAGGTGCCAGAAATCATATATCCATCCAAATCTTTAGAGAGATATTGAGTGAAATAAGTGTTAATTAAATGAATTTTTAAGCGCGAAAACTGCAAAGTCACCGCAACCAATTGTATATTCGATCTCTAAAGGTTGACATATTATCACTCCATTCAGATCTCAGTTTTCTTCAACAATCATTCAAAACTGACTTAGTTGACCTTAGTTTCATTAAGACTGTAATAAATCGTGCTGAAGATTTTATAATCGTGTCTGAAACCTTCTTTAGATTGTAATTAATCTGAGTACATAGAAATATTTTCGTGATAGAAACATCCTTGTCATAATGGTTTTTCCATTACAAACGTATCCCATTGATAAGTAAATCTGATAGTTTAGTTGAAGTGACATATTTTCCTGATTTTACTTTGGCAAGAACCCATTTTTAATTTCAAAGAAAATTAGAAAAATTCAAATATTATAGGCAAAAATCGATCAATAATATCGCTTGGCGCCATATTTTTCCTCATATGGTTACCGTGCAAAGTAGTTTGTCGATCCTTAATTATAAGAACCTGTATCTTACGCTGGTTCATTGAAAGTCACATAAACGTTATCCATTTTCAATTTGTGATAATAATCCCACGAAATCCTACTCTGGATTTCTTACATAATCTTCACTTTTCACGAACACATAATATGACTCCAAATTCTACTAATCCCGCCTTTTCTAATCTATTGACTCTTCACAATCTTTGAAACATAATCTCAAACCCAAAATACTATTGACGTTATGCAAATAAACATGGCCTTAGAATTCAATATAATCGAGAAAAGCATTCAGTTTAATAGAGTATGAGTCAATATTACGACAAAATCAGGGCATAAAGTTCAATTCTTATTCAAAGCAGTTATTTCGAATTCTTTACAAAATACCTTCTTTTATGGGTTTTCTTCATAATATCATGCATACAGTAACACAGTAACACACATCATAATTCTCACTGATATTTCATGTTATCTATAACTCTTTTTCTAATTCAGATTTTGAGAATGATTTTTCATTTACAAGATACTTTATCTTTTTATGGTATAATTCCTTCACCTAAATCAATATTTTTCTCGGTTGTATAAGTTGTTTACCTACAGAAATTACCAATTGATTTTTGTGTACTAGTTAAAAGCCTTTGTTATCATTACTTAACCCAATCTTAAGGTTCTTTTGATGTTTTCGTGTTCTGGTTATGTTTATCAAGTCACCCACTAGAGTTTCATAATTAAATATTAATCAATTTACTTATTTTAGATGCAACAATTGTTAAAAAAACAGAGGTGTCATGGAACAAAAAAATCAGAACCATTTGGGTTTGGAACGTTTTGGTTCAGAACGGAAAAAATTAAAATATAAGTTGATTGAATAGGTCTAGCTAGTAGCAAAAAGCTCTTCAAAACTCTTCTATGCTAATAGAGTAGGACAATTTTGTTATGCTCTCATGCAGGGTAGAAAGGCCAGGGCAATGACATTTACATGTAAATCCACTTTAAGCTATTAGAAAGAAGGATACATTAATCTAATGGAATTATTGATGAGGCTGAGATGATTAAAAAGGATTATTTTTTGGGCTTTTGAATATCATAAGTGCCTGTCTCATGAAGATACAGTTAACCCTGTCTTAGTGAACACCTCTCTCTAGTGAACACCTGTGTTTAGTGAACACCACTTCAAGACACATTCTACATTTACTCCTGTGTAGAAAACCTAATCTGTAGTGAACACCTACCTACAGTGAACACTTTTTGTGGCTCCATAGGTGTTCACTATATACAGGTTTTACTTTATTCATTTCATAAAGAGAAACAATAAGTGCTTTAGTCTTGCATCGAATCTCTGGACAATTTCATGCCTCTCATGGCCTCCCATTATTTCTTTAAGTTTAGAGGGTAGCATTATCAGAATGTTGGCAAAAGGCTTGCAAACAACAGTAAGGGGTTGCATAACTCTTAAGGGAAAATCTCTAGTGCAATTCTGTAATGCAAATCAGACTGTACTTAGATGCCCTGACCCTGGGCTTTTTGACTTTAATTTTAACTTGTACAATGACATTCTTGGGAGAAAAAGGAGCTGCCATCTTGACAATGTAGTATTATAACATGAATAAAACCAAATATCAAGAAAGTCAAAAAACAAGTACTCAAAACAGAAAACAACATTGCTTCAATTCAGAATTAGCAAGAACTGTGCAAATACAAACCCACAACTACGTGCATAATAATAAAGGATTTGGTAACTTAATTCAAGAAAAACACTGAAATTGTATCATGTATTTTGACTATAATAAAAATACATACGTCACGTTGTTAAAAAACTAGCAACCCGAACACCTTGGCTAAATCCGATATATTGACATTAAACATGTTTTTTTGGTAAC